CAGATTAACTGCATGTACACGAGAGCTGCTCCGTGGCTGCAGGTGGTGGCTTGTGCGTGCGGCGCGAGCTTTTGCCAGGGGCAGGGGGCTTTTGGTGGGGGGGGAGGGTGGCTCAGTCCGGCGCCCGCATGATGGGCCCGCGCTATAGGCGAGAGTCTAGCTTGCCTAGTGAGCGAGCCGGCCCTGTGTGTACCTGCGCTCTCAATTGCCCAGGGTCATTGAGGAAGGGCATGTGGGTGGTGTACAGTGGTGGCACTCCCTGGGGGCAATGGCAAGGTGGTGTAGTGCAACGGAGGATGGCCGGTGGGGGGGCTTGCAAGCAGAAGAAGAATGTGTGGGCAGGTAGGGGCATGTAGGTGTGGGGGTGGAAAGAAAGGCCTAGGGGGCTTGGTAGTGGACAGATGGGGGACCCTGTGCGCTGTCTGCCCAGGTCCCCCCCCACAAACATGGAACTGGCCCCCACTTCTGCCTGTGGCACACAAAGTGTATAATGGTAACACAGGGCCAGTTTGGTGCAGTGGTTAAGTGTGCGGACTCTAATCTGGGAGAACCGGGTTTGATTCCCCACTCCTCCACTTGCACCTGCTGATGTGACCTTGGGTCAGTCACAAGCTCTGGCACAGCTGTCCTTGAAAAAGAGCAGTTTGTGTCAGAGTTCTCTCAGCCCCACCCACCTCACAGGGTGTCTGTTGTGGGGAGGGGAAGGGAAAGGAGTTTGTAAGCCGCTCTGAGACACCTTTGGGTAGTGAAGGGTGGGGGATAAATCCAATCTCTTCTTCTTCTCGTGAGTCAGTTTGGTGTAGTGGTTAAGTGCGCAGACTCCAATCTGGGAGAACCGGGTTTGATACAGCTTCCCTGCCCCATTGGTTTTGTGGCATTTAGGAAAGGGGAAAAAAGCCCTCTGAGAAACCTATCTGATGGGAGATTTCCTGCTACAAAAAGAGCCCTGGAAGAGGTATGAGTCTCAGGTGTGACAATGACCTAAGGCAGACAACAAACTGTTTAACTAGGGGCGTCTGATTTCTCTTCATCTGAGCATCGGCTAAAAAGACAGCCCCATTGGCCCCATCCGTTCAGTCTCTCCCAAGTCAACCATGATGTGGGCAAAAGGCTCCTTTTGGTTCCCTCTTTGCCAGACTGCAAAGCGACGCAGCCTTTAGTGGGGGTCTCCTGCCGCTTGCCACCTCACTCTAGTTTGCCTCGCCGCCAAGGTTGCCAGTTCCAGGTTGGGAAAGACCTGGAGATTTGTCGGTGGAGCCCACGGGAAGTGGGGCTTGGGGAGGGGAGAGACCTCGGCAAGGCCCGATCCCACCCTCCAAAGCTGCCCTTTTCTCCAGGGCAACTGATCTGTGTGGTTCTGCAGACCAGTTGTGTAATGTATTGAAACGTTTACATGAACCACCTCATAGGACTCCCATGTTAAGCTTCGAGCCAAACCAGGGCTCCACTGAACGAACTTCCTATTGGTCGCTCTGCAACAGCGACCAATCAGAACTGTGCCTTGTCCCTGCGAGGGAAAGACTTCCATTGGTTCTTAAACTAGCAATCTCATTGGTTGTTATTTGTAAATAGGCGTGGCTACATTAGCCCGGTTATGTTTAAAAGGAGCATAGCTCCCACTGTTTGCTGTTCTGGTTTCTTACTGAGTTGAGTGCTTGTTCGTTACTTCCAATAAAGCTGAATCACTTGCTGAATCACTCTAAGAGTCCTTTGTTAGCGCGGGGGACAAGGTTTTCGCACGGAATTATGCAAACGGGCACTTGTGGCTTCCTGGGGTTATATCCGACTCTGTGGGTACTCGCATGTATGTGGTGCAGTTAGCTGACGGTCGAATATGGCGGCGCCACATAGATCAGTTAAGGAGACGTTGGGCTAGGGACAGCGCTGACTCTCCGACGGCTGAATCCCCTGATGTCGAGTGGACACCCCCAGAGCAGGCGGTGAGTACCGAAAGGCCCGGTACTGTCCCCGAGTCAGGGCAGAACCCTGTGTGCGGGGCTGAAATCCCAGTCGAGTCTGTGCCTGATCCAGGCTGTAGTGAACCCCACTCTGACCCACAACCTTGTCTGCCCGTGGTGCCTGCACCGCTCCGCAGGTCCCAGCGTTCGCGGCAAATGCCGACTTATCTGAAGGACTATGAGTGTAATTAATGTTGGAATAACTGATGTACAATGATTGACCTAACTGTATGTAAATAATAAACAAGGGTATGTTGTCTTAACTTAGGGGGGAGGAATTGTAATGTATTGAAACGTTTACATGAATCACCTCATAGGACTCCCATGTTAAGCTTCGAGCCAAACCAGGGCTCCACTGAACGAACTTCCTATTGGTCGCTCTGCAACAGCGACCAATCAGAACTGTGCCTTGTCCCTGCGAGGGAAAGACTTCCATTGGTTCTTAAACTAGCAATCTCATTGGTTGTTATTTGTAAATAGGCGTGGCTACATTAGCCCGGTTATGTTTAAAAGGAGCATAGCTCCCACTGTTTGCTGTTCTGGTTTCTTACTGAGTTAGTGCTTGTTCGTTACTTCCAATAAAGCTGAATCACTTGCTGAATCACTCTACGAGTCCTTTGTTAGCGCGATCTAACAAGTTGTCCTACAGCTTCCCTGCCCCATTGGTTTTGTGGCATTTCGGAAAGGGAAAAAAAAGCCCTCTGAGAAACCTATGTGATGGGAGATGAAAGTGTGCCAAAGAAGCACTCTGTACACTCTGCTGCCAACTCTGGGTTGGGAAACTCCTGGAGATTTTGGGGGTGGAGCCTGTGGAGGGCGGGGTTTGGGGAGGGGAGTGGTGGCCGTGGGGCACAAGGCCATACAGTCCCCCCCGACAAAGCAGCCATTTCCTCCAGGGGGACTGATCTCTGTCGCCTGGAGACCAGCTGCGATTCTGGGCGATCTCTGGACCTCCACGTGGCTGTTGGCAACCTCACTCCTGCTGGCCAAAGTCTTGCTTGCACACGGCAGGCCAGGAGGCAGCTCTCGCAAAGCCCTTGTTTTGGTTCACACAGCCGTGTTGGTGAAGGAGATGTTTTCCTGAGAGCCAGTTTGGTGTAGTGGTTCAGTGCCTGGACTCCAATCTAGGAGAACCGGGTTTGGTTCCCCGCTCCTCCACTTGCACCTGCTGGATGACCTTGGGCAAGCCGTAGTTCTGATAAGAGCTGTCCTTGAAAAAGAGCAGTTTCTGTCAAGAGCTCTCTCAGCCCCACCTACCTCACAGGGTGTCTGTTGTGGGGAGGGGAAGGGAAAGGAGTTTGTAAGCCGCTCTGAGACACCTTTGGGTAGTGAAGGGCAGGGTATAAATCCAATCTCCTCCTCCTCCTCTTGCTGAATCACTAATAAACTATGAGCTGATCACTTCTACGTGTCTGAACCCAGTATGTTTCAGGTATCAAAAATATTTGCCTGAATTTGTCATCACGATTTACCCTCTGCTCTGCTGTGCCTGTCAGAGAACTCAGAGACTATCTGTCAGGATATATGCTGAGCTGCTTCTGCCTCCTCAACCTTCCCCCATTTCCTCTGTGGATGCCAGAGAACTGAGGAGAGGCAGAGATCTTACCTACTGCTCATTAACATAAGAGCTTCCCCTCCCCCAAGATGTCTGCATTTTGGAGAGTCTTCTTCTTCTTCTTCTTCTTCTTCTTCTTCTTCTTCGAGGAACGGGTGTGTACAACAGTGGGAGAGGGGAGTTCGGGATGAATCCAGGGATCCCTGCTCTTGGAGGTGGTGGCGGCTACAAGCATGGACAGCTTCAAGAGGGAATTGGATAAACATATGGAGCAAAAGTCCATCAGTGGCTATTAGCCACAAGGCATAGATAGGAAGTCATGGTCTGGGGCAGGTGATGCTCTGTATTCTTGGTGCTTAGGGAGGGGCAACAGTGGGAGGGCTTCTAGTGTCCTGGCCCCACTGGTGGCCCTCCTCCTGATGGCACCTGGTATTTCTGGCCACTGTGTGACACAGAGTGTTGGACTGCATGGGTCACTGGCCTGATCCAACATAGCTTCTCTTATCTTCTTAGGAGCAGAAGTCCATCAGTGGCTATTAGCTACAAGGTATAGATAGGGACTCTCGGTCTGGGGCAAGGGATGCTCTGCATTCTTGGTGCTTTGGGGGGGGCAACAGTGGGAGGGTTTCTAGTGTCCTGGCCCCACTGGTGGACCTCCTGATGGCACCTGGTATTTCTGGCCACTGTGTGACAGAGTGTTGGACTGGATGGGCCATTGGCCTGATCCAACATTGGCTTCTCTTATCTTCTTATGTTCCCTGTTCCTGTCCTAAGTTGTCTCCACTGCTTTCTAGCTTGAACCCACCAGATAACCGCTGCCTACCCATGTTTGGCTATAAGCACGTTCTGGCACTCACGGACAAGGTGAAGCGTTTCAATGAGGAGGTGAAGAAGCAGCAGGTTTCGAGGAACCGTGATGCACCTGAAGGAGGGTTCGATGCCATCATCCAAGCGATTGTCTGTGACGTAAGAGCCTGCCCTTTGCCATGGGTCAGTGGGGTTATGTGGGTTGAGGAGCTGGGCTGTTGCTCCATATGAAGCTATTGAGTAAGACCTTTGGCCTCTCAGTGTCACTGTGGTCCACTCTTGATGGGAACAGCACTCCAGGGCAGTGTTCCCTCTGAGCTGAGTTAGTGTGAGCTAGCTCACAGTTTTTTAGGCTCCGGCTCACAGGGTTTTTTTTGTCTTAGCTCAGGAAGGAGGGCTCCAGAGCAAACTAATTCATGCAGTAGCCAAATCACTCACTCACAATACCAGTAGCTCACAAAGTAGAATTTTTGCTCACAAGACTCCACAGCTTAGAGGGAGCATTGCTCCAGCGTCTCAAATGGTGGCTTTTAATATCATCTTCACATCAGCCTTTCTACCGGAGGTTCTGGGGATTGAACCAGGACTTTCTCTGTGTTGGCCAGATGCTCTAGTGTTGTGGCATGGTCCCCCCTCCCCATTCCCAGTCAGTGCTGCTGTTCAGTATCTCCAAGGTCCTTGGGTGGCTGGGTCAGTTGTGGGCCTGTATTGCAAAATTAAGACCAGAGTGGACTATGAAAACATAACCCACATGGGAAAAGCAGTTCAGTCCAGAAACCCTGGGATTCAGACCCCCACTCTGCCATGGAAGCTTGCTGGATGACTTTGTCTTTGGGGCTCTGGCCACGAGCTCCAGGTTGGCAGAAATCTCATGGAAACGATATGCGAGATCTGGGTTTGCTTTCATGGAGATTTTAATAAGCAGGGATCAAACTTACAGAATCAGCGGGCTAAGTTCCCATCTGCTGGGTCTCGAACGCACACGCACACAGTGAAACTTAGACAGACCTCGGCTGCGGTCACACGGAGCATTAGGCACGCTACAGAGACGGAAGATAGGCGGCTTTTCCGGGCACGATCGCAGCGCCACATCTGGGAAACGTAGAGCTCCCGTGGCGAACCCGAGGCTTCCCGCCGAAGATGCGGGGTAAAAAACTAGTACCTCCGAGGTACTCGTTTCCGGAAACAGCAGGGCAAGGGTGGGCGCCCGATCGCGTTTCCGGTGGTAGGTCGTGGCATCCGGCGCCTGCCCATGTCCTGTCACTAAAAGGTTTTTTCCCCCAAGTCTCCATGGGATGCGCACAAGCACCCAATGGCGCATGCGCACACTTCATTTAAAAACAAACCACATAGCCCCCTCCTCTTTTCCGTACCCCCCCCCACTCCAGGCTTGGCCTGCGATAGAGGAACTCTCTGCACCGGGCGGCAGAGGGGGAGGTGCAGGGGGGCGTGGTGGGAGGGCGGCCTGGCTGAAGCTCCTCCTAGAGGGGACCGGACAGAGGACACAGTTTGCATTCCTCTGCAGCCCTGGAGGGGGTTAAACACGCGGAGCCTTTTGCTAGGGAGGCCGCTTCTTTGCCCCGCCGCAGGATTGTCCTGTGATCGGCACCTCCCCATAACCACGGGACCTGGATGGGACCTCTATGGGATGTCTGCTCGCGCAGCCGCACGTTATTTTGCTCCAGGGCAAACAGCCACGCTTCCCCCCGCATTTTCCTGCCCGTGTGACTGGGCCCCTCGAGACGCATAGCTAAAACTAAGCATCTTATACCCTAATTGCTGGCTACGAGTCAAGAAATTATTAATCAAGGTAGCCCAAACACTGAAATGAGGCAGGCCATCCTGCGCCTGGTGTCTTCTGGTGAGAGAAAACAAATCAGGCTTCCTAGATAAGAGCTGCTAACATGAGAGAGAAAAACATTCTCTTGGGCATGGCCTGACAGCTGTCCCTTCTCAAAGCTAAAGGGGAAGCACCAGCCTGTAACAAAGATGGAGTTACAGAGGCTATACACTTTGGTCCAGTTGCTCTCTCCCTCTCCCCTTCTCTCTCTAACTCAGCCTAATCTACTTCAGAAGGTTCTGGCTGTGAGGGTAAAATAGAGGAGCCCAGATACAATCAATGCTCCCTCTAAGCTGTGGAGTCTCGTGAGCAAAGATTCTACTTTGTGAGCTCCTGGCATGAAAGTTGTGAGCGAGCGATTTGGCTGCTGCATAAATTAGTTTGCTCTGGAGCCATCCTTCCTGGGCTAAGACAAAAATGTGTGAGCCGGAGACTAAACAACTGTGAGCTAGCTCACACTCACTCACCTTAGAGGGAACACTGGATACAATTAGTGTTCCCTCTAAGACATTTTTGTCTTAGCTCATGAAGGATGGCTTGAGAGCAAACTAATTCATGCAGTAGCCAAATTGCTCGCTCACAACTTTAATGCCAGGTGCTCATAAAGTAGAATTTTTGCTCACAAGCCTCCACAGCTTAGAGGGAACATTGGATACAATCAACATGTGTACTAGTGCATTTCTAGGATCGTCTGACTCTTCCTTGAGAGCAGTGGCAAAAAAAGAGCAAGTTGCAGAAGAACATTTTGGACTCACAGCATAACACAGTGCCCGTTTTTATCTCATTGAACTTAGAGTTTGAATGGGTAACACTGTGGGAGGTGTGACAAAGTGCATGGATGCATGTTGAAATAAATGGAAGCCCAAAACTCCCTGCCATCTCAGTCAGCTCCCCAGTGGATTGTGCCCCATGTTCATGAGTCTGTAGAAGGGGCCCCCTTGGCTTTTGACCCACAGCCTCCTGGATATCTTGGGCACTGAGGAAGATCACGCTTTCCCCACCCTAACTGCAGAGAATAGCTCGTCTGCCCCTATCGGCTTTGAGTCTGTGCCCTTCTGTTCTGAGCTTTGCCACTGTGGAGACCCCGCTGCTGTTTTTATTTTGCCACAGGAGAAGATTGGCTGGAGACCAGAAGCCTCCCACTTGTTGGTTTTCACTACGGACGCCAAGACACACATCGCTTTAGACGGGAGACTGGCGGGAATTGTAACGCCCAATGACGGGCAATGCCATATCGACAGCAACAACTTCTACGCAGCTTCCACCACACTAGTAAGGGCAGTCTCCTAGCTATGGGGCCCAGGGACCAACCTCTGCAAATGACATTATGCTGTAGCTTGTGTTACATTTCTAGAATATCGCTTTTGGTGTTTGAGCTTGGTGGACTTGACATACAGCTTGAACAAAACAATTTTGAATTCTAATAACCACCTACTAATGCTCTAAGTTGGTCTTAACGCAGGAAGGGGAAGTACGAGCCGGCGTGGGGTGGTGGTTAAGAGCGAGGGTTGCCAGTCCCACGTTGTCTAATAACAAGAGTCACTGCCTCAAATGACCAAAACTACAAGGAGGAGAAGCTATAATGAAGCGCTACACACACACAAATGGAGTAATCACAACACTAATTCTTGCATCCATATAAACATATATAAATTCCAAAGAGGTCCATTTAAAATTGTGGTGATTGTCGACGAACTTCTCCGGAATGTCTATTCATTTCGTGGAGACGTCATCCGAACAAGGACCATGCCGGACATGCAGTGATGTGTAATATCGAATCAACCACTAGAGGGAGCAAAATGTGTGGAAATACCCCCCCCCAAGTCATAGGGGGCACACAAGTAACAAAAAGAGCTCCTCGTCTGACTGCAGAGGTTTTTCTTCTAGAACTCTCTCAGTAAAGCAGCGAGGTTTATCTCTTCTCTTTCCTACCAAGTTTGTTTGTTCCATAAATAAAGTTTTTGCTACGTTTAATAAAGTTCCATGTCCTAAGTGCTGCAAAGGCATTCTGCCAACAAGTGGGTCTTACACAGAGTGGGTGCCAAGACTGGGAAAGGCTGACGCTCGCTGCATTGAGTGTAATGTCGCTTTGGGAGAGTGGAGTGGATGTCTGGAATTCGGCTTCTGTGTATGTGTTTGGGTATAGAGATGACATCTGTGAGGATATAACTGGATCAGGTTTTGATAGTCAAGTAAATGAGATAAGTATGTCTGTTTCCCAACATGCAGCCTAGCTATTGTTCTTTCCCTGCATCCTAAGGTGACTTAATTGGTGTTCTCCCCCCCCCCCCATCTCTAGGATTATCCATCCCTTGGCCTGATGACTGATAAGCTCTCCCAGAAAAACATTAACTTGATTTTTGCTGTGACTCAAACCATTGTGGGGCTGTATCAGGTAAGAACTGTTCTTTGTAGTGAAAACTTCCGGTTGCCGGAGAACCATCTCCTTCCTTTCGTCTTCAGCTCCTCCGCTTTTTATCTTTTATTTTCTTTTAAGCCTTATGCCTCGTAGTTTGCCACTTTTAAGGCTTATTATCTTAGTAAGCCTTTAGCAAGGCGTTGAGCTGAGCCGAACGAAGTGCATGTTTATTTCTAGAGTCTGAAAGCAGTATTTTCTTTCTACGGACGCCTCCTGGAATACTAGATTACAGCAGTACCTCCTTTGACATTAATTGGAATGGGAAGTTTGTTTCAGTTTGAACTGACTTTGTTATGAGACCGGCCGACTTTTATCTGTAGGTTGCCCTGTTTACTCTGCCAGCCGCTTTCTTATGGACTGTAATTTTCTCTTACTATGAAAACAAGTAAACGGCGGAGAGAAGTAGGGGGTTCTCGCCCTCCCCCCGGGTCTCTAAACAACTGAAAACGGATTACTTTTATTCAATTCAAGTACCTACTACAAACTGATTTTTAGTGTTGGAAGGTCTAAATGACTCACCTGATATTTCTGCTCCTTCGGCTAATTCAGCAGCTTTTTTTTCTCTCCTGGAGGGCGTGGCAGCTAATGCTGAGTCAACTAGAAGTCGACCTGAATTGCTTAATGGGGTTGAAGAACTGGAAGCAGGCAAAGAAAGTGACTGCTCACACTTAACACTTCTCGTTGCAAAAACAGTGGAGCATATTTGTAAAATACTTGGATGTCTGCACTCTAAAACAGACGATTTGAATAATCGGTTAAATAAAAAAAAGATAAAATAAATAAATATTAATAAAAGGGAGGCAACCAATGCTCTCAGGAGTAGAGAACGTATTGAGATTAGACAATCTGAGTCCATCAATTATGTACGTGCGGCTAGTGAAATCAAAGCTGCGATGGCGATGCCCAGCTTGGATGTTATTAATAGGAAGTACCAACTAGTATTGCAGCCCACTAAGATCAGCTTGATTGTGTGTAAATATAATGGCCTTATCCCTTCCTGGTATGCAAAATCAGCAATGAAGAGACATTTAATGGCTTTGATGGGGAACCAAACAAGAATGATTAACTTAAAAGATTTAGAAATATTAAGCAGTTTTAAGCAGGCTCAGAGAGTTATACTGACTTTTGGCTCCCCCGAGATTCCATCAGCTTTGCTTCGAACAAGGATCCCCTGAAGTCAAAAGGAGTATTCCCTACCCGATAGGGAGTATTCCCTATCGCCGTTAAGCTTGGTCTCTAGGGAAGCAACAACCAACTGTCTACATGACTCCAAGACGAGATGTAATGGCTCAAGGGGGAAGCTGCCAGGAGCAACACTGACAAAGACCCAGCTATCCAAGACTCATCTCCAATTATTAAGCCTGCCTCCTCCCCTAAGGAAGGGCTGCCGGAGGAGGAGGTGATGGATATAAACATACAGGAGGAGTATATGGGCTTGCCTGAGCAGGGCCAACAATGGATCCTGGATAGAATTGAATGTCTGGAGCAAAACCTGATCAACAGCAGCTCTCATGGACATTTGAGGTGGATGTAGTAGTCTCTGAGAGGCCGGAGTGTCACAGCTTAACCCCTACACCTTCTAAACAATCTCCAACTGAGGACTCACCTGGAATTGATGATGTCCAGCCGCTGATTACTGGTCACTCCCCGAACTTGTTTTTAGGGTTGGCTGCTGAGTCTAGCGAGACAAGAGTAGCAGGAATCTGCATTTGCTCTGATGCTGATAGGTCTCTAGAGCTTTTGACAAAGGCTGATTGACTGATTGAGACCTCTTCCTCGCCAGATATCAAGCTCCTCTCCAGGAACATCACAGGTTGGAAAAATAAGTCTAGTGACCCCGATTTTAAACAGTTCCTAAGTGGATATGACATAATTTTGCTCCAAGAGACCTGGGCTCAGTGTGAGATTTGGCTGGGGGGGGGGTTTAATGTGCATTCTGCACCAGCTCTTAAAGCTAGTCTCGCTATGGACGTGGTTGTCAGCTAGCTGCCATGCTTTCTTCGTTTTCTTTCGTCCCTAACCTTTGCACATGCGCGCATGCTTGCTTTGCTTAGCTACTGTGGGTAACATAAGGGAGGTGCTCTTTTGCCCGTGCAAACTGGCTCAGCCAGACAGCGCTATCAGTGTAACCTTGAAGAGAAGGGAGGGCTTGAATTCCACTATCGGTGTGAATATTTCTGCTCTCTGGGGGGTGGGGTGAGTCTCCCATTTATGATGTAATGTCCCGCCGGGAGAATTCCCGCGCGTGTGCTTGGATTTCATTTGCTTAGCTATGTGAGGCATCAGAGTATATGTATTGAGTCCCTTGCACTAATCGTTATTCCTGACAATGTAACTGTACTACTTGGCAACAGAACAGTATTCCAATAAATCATAACTTTTCCTGAAGAGTATGTTTGGACCTGCGTGCTGTTGAACCTGACAGTGGTCAAGCTGGCCTAACTGTTTTATGGTCCGGAAAATCCAATTTAGTTGTTACCCCTCTCGAGGCGACCAATGTTAATGTGCAACTCTGTCTAGTGGAAGGTGCAGGGTGGTCTTTTATATTGATAAATGTTTGAATAAATTATATATATTATATTTTATATAAATATTTTTCAACTATCCAGATATTTGCTAGAAATCTAACTCTGCTAGACATGGGGCATCCCACAGATTCCAGAATAGTATTGCGGACAACTTCATCTATCAGAAGGTAGAGGTGGGAACCAGAGGATCTGCCATCCTAGATTTAATCCTGACTAACAGGGAAGAAATGGTTGATGAAGTGAATGTTGTGGGAATTCCTTGGGGAATAGTGACCATGTCAGCTTGGAATTTGACATAGAGAAGGATGTGAAACCAGGACATAGTAGGACTCGTATCCTGGACTTCAGGAAAGCTGATTTAAAAAAACTCAGAGAAATATTAGGTAGGATCCCATGGCTGGAAATGCTGAGGGGGAAAT